GCCTGGAAGTGCCGACGACAAGACGCTAGTAAAGAGCAGAAAAAGCAAAAATCCACAACTGAAGAGTACAATCCACACACAAGTTCCATGCTTCAGGGGGCGGGGCAAGGTGGCAGAAAGCAGGATATGACAGATCGCATGATTTTTCTGCTTTTCCTGTTATCATCACTCCCAGCTTCCTGATCGCAGATTTGTCCGCCGCCGCGAAGCGCAGGGGATTGGGGGAGGAGGGACGGGGATCAAGCTACGAAATGCCAAAGTACCGAAAAGGGAACGTATCATTCTCTACCGGTGGAGAAAGGGGGGAACGGACCTTGATTTGCGTGCACGGCGCGTGTCGGGGAAGGAAGATCGTGATGGTCGACGTGACACGACTTTGCGTTGGTAGGTGGTGAGGAGCATAAGTTAACCAGGTGGAAGTATCAAGTACGACAAGTTACAGTTGTGAGATCATGGTCGAGATTCATGGTACAATAAAGATTCATGCAACAACATGGGATATCAGTCTCGATGTTCATATTTTATGGTTATCATAATGGATGCGATGCTTGCCGATATAGGTACCTATGCTATTATAAACGCTCTGTACGACACTGCTGCAGAACCGCAATCCCTCCAACCTTGGAATTGTGCAATTGCTTATGCATGTCCAAAATTGACATCCCAAATAATAAACACCAATGTCTCCATGAAGGTTCTGGTGTTACATAGAGAAGACCGCACCCTCGGATGGCCTCTTTTGGCCTAATTGCGCGCAGTACCAAGCTTAAGTGTAGGGTATCAGGTTGGGTCAAGGTAGCGATCGATGTGACCGTGGCCGCCTCCAGGTCCCTTCCTAGACCATTCGTGTATGCATGCTCAGGATATGCGTCACCCCTCGGTGCCGCTATCGAAAGCCAGGGTCCTGTTCCATCTCGGCCAGCAAGTCCTCCCGATCCTCAAGGGCAAGCTGCACGAACTGCCTGACCCAAGCCTCTTGCGGTGCGTCGAGGCGATCGGGGAGTGCGTCCGCACGCATCATCTCCAGCATTGGCCCGAACAGCTGGACGCCCTGGGCCGCCATACGGCCGTTCCGCTGTTGCGCACCACCGCGACCTGCTCCGCGGTTGTTTGCGCCGGCATTTTGTGCTGCACCTCGGACACCGCCTCTGCGTGCCGGTGCCCCTCCGGCACCACGCCCAGCCCTGGCGTGCCCGGCCAGACCAACTAATGGATGTTGTTGGTTGTGCCCTCCCCTGGCCGGAGGAACAGGCGCCCGCGGTGGCACACCAGCAGCGCGAGGCCCTCCACGACCAGCGCCAGGCGGGGGATTGCCAGCTATCCTCAACACAAGCGGGCCTTCCCTGGCTACACCGACCTGTCGGTTATCCGCGCCATGAGCATTATGATTGTCGCGTTGCCTGTCGTCTCTCGCATGTTCGTGCGCCTCATCTTCATCCTCTGGCTCCTCAATCTCGGGCACGACATGTTCAACAGGGATCGGGGCGCCCCCAGCAGGAGCGCCACCACCTCGACCGCCAGCGAAGCCCAAACCAACATCATCCCCGTCTCCCTCCTCGAGTTCCCACAATCGCATGTAACAGCTGTTCCGCTTGCCATCCGGTTGTATATTGAAGTGTTGGTATGGGTTGTCCGGGTGCAGCCATGCAGAACATAGATAGCAAAAATGCGACTGGCAACGGTAGCAGAGCATATGGTTGCAACCGTGTGTCTTCTGCACGGGCGCAGCGCAGGTAGGACAGGGTGTCGTGTGTAGTTTGACGTATTCCAAAGAGGCGATGTCCTCTTCCGTCAGCTCGTCCTTCTTCCTAGGAGCACTGCACCGAACGAACTCGCCGTGCCATGACTGCAGGCAACGGGAACAGAACGCAAAGCCGCAGTCCTCGCAGATGGCCAAAAGCTCCTTCTCCGGCTTAAATGGCTTCATCTTGCCGCTCGAACCAGCCTCATCCTCCTCCACCTCGGAGCCTTCGTCCTCGTCCGAAGCTTCACCGAGCTCGAAACCTTCGGGCTTCTTGTGTTTCTTGGACCGCGCCGCCCCGTTGCACCACGACCGTGGACAGTAAATGGTGTTCTTATCCGACTCGAGCTCAGTCTTGTATTTGAGCGTGACGTAGCGTTGTACCACCTCGGGCTCCAAGGGAATCTGTAACAGCTCGCTGGGGCTGATGAACGTCCTGACTTTCTTGCCCTTTTTCTCAGTCGCAGCAGCCTTCTCACGCTCTTTGGCACAGCCCGGGGCCAAGCAGCGGACGGCCGCCAGATCACCTTCCTTGATGGCGTTGTTGTAGAAATCCTGCAGACAGTCGATGCAGAAGACATGGCCGCAGTCTACCATCCTGTGGCAGACAGAGCCCTTCTTCGGATCAAGGCAAACACCACAGCTGAAAGTCTCCCTGTCGAATGCGGCCTTCTTTGCCTTGATGTCATAGTCCAGGACGGCGATCTTGTGCTGCGTGTCCACCTCCAAGCCCTCCTTTTCGTCTACCAAGCCAAATAGATCCTCTGCGGCTTGTTGGACGTGGTCTATGTATGTGTAAGCAACCATATCTCGCCCAATCTCTTCCCAGAGCCTGGGGCCGTCCTCCTCCAACCTGCGTACAACCGTGTCCGGTAGCCATGGTGGGTTTGTAGAAACTGACACGCTGGGCGGCTTCTCCTCCGGGTAGCCTGACCCGAGCCCTATCTCGAGACGGACGGGAGGTAAGTGCGACAGACGATGAGAGTCAGGGCCGTTGTTCGGATTATGGTCGGGGTTGATTGCTAGGCCGCCGTCCGCGCCTCCATGGTGATCAGCCCGTACTCCTGCTCCATTTGCCACGGCGCCGTCTGCTGGCACGGCACCATCTGTCGTTGGGTTGGGGAACGTCACGATAACGCCATTGGCGGGGTTGACCGGAACCTCGAGGAAGATCGTGTACGGATCGTTGGGATCGACGCGCTGCAACTCGGGGTAGATGGCTTCCAGAGAGCTAAGCTCTATATCACGCTGGTCATCGTCCATGCCTTCTGACTAGCCTGTCACGGGCTGGGTGGAAGTCGCGAAGTGTTGGTGGGTTGGGGGTCAGCAAAACATTAGTGGCAAAGGCGTTATGGTATGCCAGTCGGATGGCAGCGTTATTCTGTATGTGATACAGGATACATCAATCGAGAGTGGAATGGAAGCCGGCAAAGCTGTGTTCATATTTATTAGAAAAGGCCTTTTATCTATAAACAAGACTATGCTAGCTGTGCAGCTGTGCGTACTGCATTTGTCAGGCGTAGGATATTCGTGCAAGTCGGGCTGGACAATTCTGACGCCAGCCGCCACATGAAATCGGTCGGGCTTCGTTGACTCTTCGCCGCTGTGGGGAGGTTTTGGGGTAACGATTACATAAGACAGCCAAGCGTGGGTGCCAATGCAGCCTGCGAGCGGGTCGAGCCGATGGGGGGGTCACATGCAATGATGCATGAATGAACATCCAAGGAAGTTCCCTAAACTTCACCTCTTTTTGGCAAGGTTTGTTATTTTACACACTGCCTCACCTGTCTGTGCCAAGGCTCATGACATGTCGCAGAGAGGTTCTTGACATCTCTGTGCACCGTCTGCATCCTACAATATCCTCTTTTCCCGTCGACCCGGACATGTGGCTCAATCCGGCCATTTTCATACTGTAACGGACCGTCAAGATGGCAGAAGAAATCACGCCTCTAGCCTCCCTCTCCCTCACCCATGTTTACTATGTGAGAAGCTCAAAGCCTTAGACATCATTGCGTCCCTTGAACTAACTGGAAGCTAGGATCCTTCTGACCCAATCTCTTATGTTTGCGCCTTCCTAGCTTTGGTGCCGCAAGCCCTCTGCGTCGTCTATGCAACCCTATTCTGGTCTTCGCGGGAAGCCGAGGTACTCCTCATGTTCGCTGGCCAGTTGGTATGCGAGGGACTGAACTTCGTGCTCAAGCGACTGATCAAGGAAGAGCGGCCTCCTCGCATGCGCGTCGGCAAAGGGTACGGCATGCCCAGCAGCCATGCCCAATTTGCCTTCTTTTGGGCCGTTGCGCTTGGGTTGTTCCTTGTTGTGAGACATCGACCAAAGAAGCCCATCAAATCCTTGAAGAAGAACGCGCCTGGTGCCAGCGAAGGAAAGCCCGGTGATTCTACGGTGGTCAAGGCCACACGGTCCCAAACCGGCCGGCTAGCTCCAATCTTACAATCGGCGAAGGATGTTGAGGCATATGCCCATCAGCCGTGGTCGTTGTTGGAGCGGGTAGTGGCTAGTCTCGCCGCCCTGGCGCTGGCAAGCGCTGTGGCATGGAGCAGGATATACCTGGGCTACCACACCCCGAAGCAGGTGTTGGCTGGCTGCATTGCTGGCTCCGGGTGCGCCGTCGTCTGGTTCGCGGTCACTTATGCGCTCAGGGAAACCGGACTGCTGGCTTTGGCTTTGGACTTCCCTGTAGTGAGGTGGTTCAGGATACGGGATCTGGTCGTGGAAGAGGATCTCTGCCAGGCTGGATGGGAGAAATGGGAGGATCGGAGGCTCGTTAGGGAAGCTCGAAAGAAGGCCTAAGTCGCACACGTTGACCTAAGTTTGTCTTTTCTACCTATACATCATCGCTAGAACAATGCAACATGGGTTTGTCAGATTTCGAACCATGCAATAAAAGCAATTTGGTACGAAAATATGCTAAGCTCGTTAGTATGATGACGCCAGGACATAGGTATCAATAACCAGGTCAGACACATATCCTACTGCCAATGTTATTCTAGCTTCCTCATTCACTGATCGAACTGAACAGCTGCATCATTCTATTGCACGCGCGAAGACTAGAAACAGGTCAGTGGCTACGAATACTGGGAGTCAATTCTCCCGTGTCATAAGGACTGGCAAAGTCCTGCACCCGGTGCCTGTCATAGCCTATTCTACGGTGTAGCAGATAAACTTGAGTATCGAATCCTCAAAAAGCTGCGATCTACCTTTGGAATTGTCACGTAAAAGGGAAAACAGGGCAAAAGGATATTCCCGATAGGGGAATCGAACCCCTGGCTCCGGAAGTGCTCTGGTGTAAGACCAGTGAGAATCCGAAATGTTGACCACTACACCAATCGGGAAGCTGTGGTGCTTGTTGAGAGGGCGTGTGTTGTCACTTATTACGGGGTTTGGAGTGTTTACTGAGGAAGGAGCGGCGGGCAGCGCGTTGTAGTCAGCAGCCGTGCCTTCCTTTGTAGAAAGCTCGGGTTGCTCAGGGCTCCGCTGCTCATACCCGATGCTGTCACTGTGAGCTACGGTACAGATGGAAGGCAACTCAGGATGCTTGGGTCTTGCTTTACATGCATTCGAAATTCATTGCTTGTTCACGTTGTGTCCAGCATACATGCCAAATTCGCCGTCACCGAGCACTTATACGGTAGTATGTAGAGGTACCAGATGACAAATTGTGTCTAGATTGATATCAATAAATATGCTATAATAGCGACTGAGCGAAGTGGTATCCCATGCTAAACATACAGCCAGTGAAATGAAACATAATATATCCCAGATTACATGCCGGCATACCAGAGAGTTCGCTTTCATAAACTCCAATTCCTCCTATAAATGCTTCATAACTTCATCAAAATGTGGATCGCCCGAGTGTCCACCGTGACTCCGTCACGAGATGCCAAAACATCTCTGAGTAACTTGGTGGTGTATATTCACGCCAGAGCTTCAGGACCTGGGGAATCCCCCAAAGTTCCCGTTTTCCACGCTCGGATAAGCACCGCCACTCATTTCGGCCCAATTCCAGTCCAGCGTCATGGGTAGACTGAACAGATCAGCGGGCAACATGGGTTGTTGGAAGACGCCGTTCGCTCCAATGGCGGGGCCTTGCATATCCATCAACCCAGGAGCGTTGTTGACCATCTCTGGCATGACCGTCGCTGTGACGGCTTCGTTCATGGCGGCTATGGACCCGAAGCCTGTCAGGTCGGCGAAGGAGGTGTCCGGGAACGCAGCTGAGAAGTCCATGTCGTTGGCTCCGTTCTGGGCGGTGAAGTCGTCTGTCCAGCCGGTGGACGGGGGGTAAGCGGGGGACTCTTCATGAGTCCTAGTGGCCGTCATGGGACTGTAGGCTCGTTCCGACGTCATGTGGTCTGATTTCATGGAGGGTGACAGGTGGCCGTTGAGGTGTTGCTGGGTTGCTGCGTGTGATGTCGTTGAGCTGGAGGTCACAGGTCGGGAGGTCTGAGGGGTCGTGGCATTGGTAGCAGTGACAGTGGCAGTGGCGGGGGATGATTTGGATGCTGGCGCTTGCGGCTGCGACGCTACGGTGTTCGTCTTGGCGGGTTTCTCGGTGGAAGCATCGCCATTGTTCTTCCTCTTTCGCCTCATGGCGTGCTCTCTCTCGGCCCTGTCGATGACCTTCTTGGCAATCTTCTCGAACTCGGAACAGACGCCCAACATCCGGTGCACACCACCAGTTTGAGCCTCTTCTCCTAGCGTGGACAGGAAGGCGACGACCATATTCATCAACCGTGTATCGGACTTCGCCCTGGGATCTAGGGGATTCTGAAGGATGTTTCCGAAGAGCGTGACCAGAGCAGAGACCGGGAAATACAGGATCAGCCTGTGACTTGTCAGCGACCTCACCCGTTTCAGAAAAAGGCAAACCATCTACTTACCAGACGCACGAAAAGTCACCCTGCGGTATGTACTTCAATAGTGATATCGATGCCCTCGCGGCAGCTGTGCACAACGCAGCGGAGGAGAATACTCTAGGGTTGAGAGGCTTCGCGTTGAGCCCCTGGATGGCATAGTTCGATAGCCGGCTCGTCCAGTAGCCATGATGGATAGACATGCGGTGGATAGTCGTCAAGCAGTTGTAATATGTCAAATGGAGCACAACGACATGTAGAATGAGCGGCGTGTGAGAGGCCTTGATCTCGTGCTCGGGTCGGAAGTCGATGGGTATGCGGTCCTTCCAGTCCTCAAGCTCCTGGTCCAGCTCGCCGATTGTCTGCAGCAGCTCGCCATCCGACTGCTTTACGGCTGTCGTCGAATACAACTTCCTGTAAACCTTGCTCTCGATGATGGAGAATTCGCACATGACGCGGAACAGATTCATCTTCCCCTTGCCATCGGCGAGTGGGATGTTTCCGATGTTATCTTCCGGGTCGGCTTCGGGCAGCTCTACGTTCATGTCATCGTCATCCTGAGCAGGGGGTCGGCCTGACCGCAAGCACAAATCCTTGTCGAGCATGTAAGCGATCCAAAACACTCGCTTTCGTTGCTCAATCTCGATAGGGTTGAGGTTGAAGCCTGTTCCGCGCTTGTGTAGACCTATGCTGTGGGAGAGACGGATGGCTGCCGCGATCAATAAGAAGGACGGTTGCGGGTTCGGTGTACCCTGCATGAACAGAGCCATGCCCAACAATGCTTGTACGCTGAGCAGGTCCGTGTTCCGCATGGTCAGCTCGGAGAAGACGGCCATGGCGTTCTTCATATAATCCCAGGCCTTGGCATCCTCCTCGGCAGGTACCAGGTTGCTCATGACCCGTAGTCGATGGGCGATGGCCAGCGCAACGTTGAGACTGGCCCACCACCCCGACCCTTGGTAAGGGTCATCCGAATACTGCCTGTCTACGAGGTGCATGAAAGTGGGTTGGTGGAAGAGCGGGAACATGCAGTTAAAATTCTCGAAGTAGTCCTTAAGTAACGACATCGCCTCGGGTCTGGATGGCAATGGTCGGAAGATGGGTCGCGTAAAGAGGTCGCCGAACACCTCGGGCTTCCACGACGTCCACTTATGATCGTCAATGGATACGTCTGAGATCATCTGCTGAAACGAGCCATCCCCCGTCTTCTCGTTGACCCACTGGATTCCTTTCGGTGAGAAGATGGAAAACCCTGATGAAGAGCCTACATATACACGTCAGTCCCTTCAGAAAAAGCAACAACTGAAAAGTCGAAGAATGAAGGCCACGCACCGATGTATCTGGTTTCGCCCGAATTGTTCGTCACGAGCGAGCACATCATTTCCGACAAGGTTGCCACCTCCTCTTCGTCCTGCCTCTTATCCTCCGGCGCGTCAGACTGTCTCTTGTCATGTGGTGTGTTCGACCTTCTCTTCTCCTGGTCGCTGTCTCTGTCTTTATGACTGGGTTCCGGCGTGGTTATCGATGTGTTCGGGGTCAAACTACTACCGCCATCTTGACCCGATGTTGCTTGTGATGGCGAGGTACGATGAGATGCGATATGCGACTCCCGTATGGACAGTTGGCGCTTCTCCAACAACTTCCTCTCCAGCATGCCTAGATCCACATCCACGTCGTCATCCTCGTCAATGATACCTACGGCTATTGTAAGCATGAGAAGCAGAAAGTGACTGTTTTCTTTGCTCAACCATGTTGAAGGTGGTGATCTTGTGGAAGTGCACGGCCTGATATCTTACCTGACAATCGTAGGAGATTCTCCATGCGACTCAGCCTGTTCTCGAGGCCTTCAATGTACTTCGCTCTGCGCAGCACTTGTAAGCCAAGCCCATCACATGCGCCAAGCATAGAAAAGGAGGGTGTCCTGTCCACCTACCCCTTGGGAGGTGCCCGCTTCTTCTCGACCTGCGTAAAGACGCAGTCCGTCTTGGAGTTCTCGCAATGGCTACACAAAGGCAGCTTTCCATCGCACTTGATCTTCTTCTTTCTGCACATATCACAGGCCCTTGCTATTCTCCTCCTCTTCGCATCGTTCGAGTCGTCCAATAAGGAGCTCGGGTCGCCAAACATATGCGCTGTCAGGTCTTGGGCGAGTCCACGCATAGGTATACCGTGCTCATCGTAGTTGCCGAATATCTGGGGAGCTTGCGAGTGGACGAGGGACGGCGCAGCCATTGGCAACGGCGGCATGCGCCGGTAGCCGTAGCCTCCGTCCATTTGTTCCATACCCAACGGGTCGGCAGGTCCGGCGATAGCGATTCAGCGATCAGTTGTCAGCTTCGATATGCCGTCCGGAGTCGCGTACAATGTATCGTGGTTGGCGTCATGTATGCACTGTCCGGCCCAACTCCGATGTGTTTTGGGACGCCGCGGATGCCGATCAACTTTTGGGATTGCGGGGGGTAATTCAGACGGGCTGCTGCTATTAAGTAGGGGAGGTGCAGCAAGAGTCAAAAATTGGGTAGCGGACGCTAACTATAAACTGGCCCCTGGGCCCTGGGTCGTGCCTGCTGTGAACGGGAGCGATCCCTTGGCTTGGCATCCTCTAGACGCCCGCCGCGCACCACCGTACCTTACCTAACCACCTATTGATTGTGACCACAATCGCCTGCTTCAGACCCCTGTATCGAGGATCTGACCGTCCAGCTATGGTGGCTGAGCAACGTGGATTTATCAGCACGATCTTCGAAGGACTTGCGGACTGGTATGTGTCGAGAAACGCTCAATGGTTGCTTCGCATGGCGGTTACATCATTCTCAACGGCCTCTTTGTCAGTTCAAGTTGCGGCTAACCTAGACTTGGAGATCGGAACACTTCATCTGGGGCGCCGGTAGGGCTGGGAAAGAGTTATTGGTCGGTCATTTGGGAGGCTTGTGTCGCTATCCTGATGGCCACATCTTCTTCCTTGGACTTGCATGCGTAGGGCACACGGTGGTGTTACTGCGAAACAAGTTCAGGGGTTTCCGAAGAGCTTGACGACGCGAGTGGCATGGTGATGTAACCGAGTCCCTTGGAGTTACCTACCTTATCGTTGACTAGCGCGGCCTAAACCTTTGTCATCCCCGATCACCTGTACGCATTACCTCGTACTCTACCCATCCATGCTTTCACCACGTGTGCTTGCATGTATGCCGTCATTCCGCTAGTACGCTCCTAGCGGCGGACCGCTTGGCCCCCATCCCTTGCATGCTACAGAACTATCACGGCTAGCAGACGTCGGAAGTCCTCAAGAACGGAAGGATATGTTGAGGTTCATAATTGATGTGTATTGTCCCGTGGCTCACTCCACCGCTTTTCACTACTCATGATATGCTGGTGCGATTGAAAGGGCTTCTGTCTCTGGGGGTATCGTATTGTATCTATGTCCCATACTTAATTGTAAGTAACCCAGACGCACAGGAGATATGATGTTGTACAACGGA